TTACCACTGAGCCACCTTCCCAGCCCTTATTGTAAACCTTTTTAATTGCTGAATTATATTCCCTTGTATGAACAGACTATGATTTGTTTATCCATTTTGTTGTTGATTTTGCTCTAAATATGCTTTTGTGTATATCCTGGTTCCACATGGTACACATCTTTTCGGGGCCTATTTAAGGAGTAAAATTACTAGGTAATAGGGCATGCCAAACTATTTGACATCTTATTCCAAAATTTTTATTTGTCTAAGACCAGGACTCTAACTCAGTAGACACTTTCACTCATTGGCTGGAGCTCTACTACCACAGCCACATCTCCAAACCCCCAGGCGTTTTTTTTTTAAAGTTATTCTATTAAAAAAAAAGTTTAACCCCTCTGTACAGTATCTTTACAAATATATATATTTATTTATTTATTCTACCAACTTGTATTCCCATTACCCTTGCAGAAAGTCATCAGTGGGCTGGGTGCCTGTGGAACCAGGTGCCTGTGGCTCACACCTATAATCCTAGATACTCAGGAGGTTAAGATCTGGAGATTAAGGTTTGAAGCCAACCCTGGGCAGTTAAGTCTGTGAGACTTTCAATTAACCATCAAAAAGATAGAAGTAAGGTGTGACTCAAGTAATAGAGAACCAGCCCTGAGCCAAAAAGCAAAGGAACAGTTCCCAGGCCTTGAGTTCAAGCCCTGGTATCAGCACAAAAACATCCAAACAAACAAAAATTGTCTAGGTATATAATTTACATTGAGGGGCTGGGAAGGTGGCTCAGTGGTAGAGCACTTGCCTTGCATGCATGAGGCCCTGGGTTCGATTCCTCAGCAGCACATAAGCAAAAAGAAAAAAGCCGGAAGTGGCGCTGAGGCCCAAGTGGTAGAGCCCTAGCCTTGAGCTGAAGAGCTGAGGGACAGCGCCCAGGCCCAGAGTTCAGGCCCCACTACCGGACCCAAAAAAAAAAAAAAAAAAGTAAAACAGATGATTAAATAGTATGTAGAATTATATATCCAGAATGCCTAAGGAACTCCAAAAACTGAATAGCAGAAAACCATAAAACATAAAAAATAAATAAATAACCTGCCTTATAAAATGGGTAATAAATATAAATAGACATTTCTGAAAAGAAGACATATGAGACATACATTTATGAACAAGCACACAAAAAGGGCTCAACATCACTAATCATGAGGGAAATACAAATCAAAGCCACAGGAGAGACATTGTTTCACCCAAATAAGGATGGATAATACCAAAAAGACTAAAGGTATTGAGTGTTGTAATCCTGGCTATTCGGGAGTAGTATTAGAAGGATCATGTTTTAAGGCCAGTATGGGTGAAAACACAGTATTCTATCTGGGCTGGGGTGGGGTGGGGGGGACATAAAGGCAAAGTGACTAGGGGAGTAACCCCATTGGTAGATTACCGGAGAGTTCTTGAATTCAATCATTACTATAAATGAATTAATTAAAACCAAACATCTCCAGCCAGTGTTTAAAATTATTTATTTGTGTGTGTGTTTGTGTGCCAATATGTTACTGGCATTTAGGGCCCCTTTTTTCTAGTCTGTTATGGGTCTTGAACTCAGGGCCTGGGTGCTGTCCCTGAGCTCTCCAGCTCAAGGCTAGTGCTCTACCACTTGAGCACCACTTCTGGATTTCTGGCGGTTCATTGGAGATAAGAGTCTCTGGGACTTTCATGCCCCAACTGGCACCAAACCACAATCCCCAGAGATCTCAGCCTCCTGAGAAACCAGGATTATAGGCGTCCCATGCCTAGTGCCTTGTGCTCTTGATTGGCTTTTTCTTCTCAAGGCTAGCACTCTACCACTTGAGCCACACCTCCATCCAGTTAGTTCCCCAACTTTTGCTTTTAATGTATCAATTAAAATTTTTCCCTGAAGTCAAAATGTACATATAGAATCATAAAGGAAACAATCTACTGAAATACACATCTAGGCTAGCTCAATAGAAGAGTTTATATCCCATACATGAAGCCCTAGATTCAATTGCCATTAGAGAAGAAATAGCTATCTACTATGGAGAAACAAGTCTTGTTTTTTTGTTTTTTTTTTGGGGGGTATGGTCGTGGGGCCTGAACTCTGGGCCAGGGCGCTGTCCCTCAGCTCTTCAGCTCAAGGCTAGTGCTCTACCACTTGAGCCACAGCGCCACTTCTGGCTTTTTTCTTTTTGCTTATGTGGTGCTGA